ATCTTCGGGGCTGGGCCCTGTTGGCCTCTATTTTTTTAAGGCTCAACAGAACTCAGTTCTTCCTCAGTAGGTCGCCCCGCGCCTACTGGGTGGTATCGTTTCCCCGCGACAAACCAGACTGGTAGGCATTGGGTCGATCGTACCAAGAACCTTGACGCGCCTTGCGCAGGGGTCAACCGTTCCGTAGGCGACAGGTGTCTCCACAGACAAAAAACCGTCGTATATTTGTGTGCTGGTTTGCAGCTCGGTAGCTCTGCTCCCTCGTCCTCAGCATAGCTGAGATCCATGGGCACAGACCCGCTCGACGAGCTGTTGGAGTGTGCATTCCAACCAGGTCGTGCCGACTTGAAATGGAATTCTTCATTTAATGCCTTCTTCAAATAAAGATGGATGCACACGGAAGACTTCCATTCTGGCCACGCCAGTGCGGATGCCTTCCATAAAGACGGTCACTGCGACCGCCTCCGGAAGGGGACTAGCTGCCATCCCGGCAATGAGAGTGCACATCTCTTTGACAAAGTCTACCAATTCCTTGTTGCCGTGTCGGGCGACAAGGAAACGCCAGTGCATGCGATATGCCTAATTAGGCGGCGAGAACACTCGTGAGAGCTGCAATTTCAGCTCCGCCCAGGAGGGAAACGCAGCTTCGACCGAAGTGCCGCGCGTCAGTGCCCATTCTCGCGCTTGACCACCGAGCTTTGTGATGGCTAGCGCTACGCGCTGTTGCTCGGTCTGGAGCATGGCGGATGCGATGACCATTTCGACCTCTCTCACTCAGAGCAGGAAATTCACTCCATCCTTCCCCTCAACGACTTTAACGCTCACCATGAGCGGCTTTGGGCGGAGAAAACCATCCGTCACCAACGGTGGCGTCATAGACGCAAATGAAGCAGACATCTTCCGTTGCAGGTGCTCTAGCAGTGCGTTTTTGTAATCTCAAAATGCCTCTAGTCACGCACCGGCTGCCTTAGAGCCTTGCGCAGCAAGGTGTTGCACGCCCTCAGGGCTCAGCTAGGACATTCTTCCATCCTCACAGAGGATCAGTCTAAACGACTCAGGTGTAGATTGACTACAAGGTCTACCAAGTGCAGCGGGGCTGCCGTAGCTTAGCGCTTGAGGAAGCGTAATTTAGGTCACCGACCTTTCGTTCTATACTCAGAACAAGTACGAGTTAGCGGATCAATCCGCTTACTCCATGAGTAATTAAAGCCTCAACCCAAGGCTAATTAACTCTTCGGTTTGAATTCAAGACTGACTTTATTTATTTTTATCTGCGGCAAAGCCGCCTAATTTTAAATGCAAAGATGTTCCTTAATATATATTGTAAAATCTAAACACATGTATAACAACTGGCTATCCATCCCCGTACCGTATTCTTGTTTGGGTGTGGTCACACCAGGCCCATCTGGTGTGACATCCTGTTACCAGGGTGTGTGTAACCCCGATACACAAACAGCACTTGCTGCAAGGAGTATCGTAATTTTCATGCAGTGATTGCTGCATTCAACTCGACAAACCATCGTGGGAGAGGCTCGTTCTCTCCACCACGGTACAAACAGACGTTCAGTTTTAAAGGCATTATCCTGTACGAAATACCAGGGGTTGCGACCTGCTTCGAGGTTTCATAACCTCATGATGCATCAAACGGACGGCTGCATTCTTCTGGTAGTTCGGAGAAGATGACTGCAGTAACTTGACTACTGCAGCTTCTCCGATGACTTCTCGCGTCTGCTCGAGTGCCATCCACTCATGTGAAGACAAATGAGGAGACAACACCTTAGTTTGCGGCACTGATGGACCAAATGATACCCCAGCTCTTTCCACCTTTCAAACCAAAATCGAGTGTTGTTGGAAAGACCGCTCGAAGTGCTACCAGCACTGTTCACAAGCAGTCCCTTAAACACAGCACATGAACATACATTTTCGACGATATATTCGTCCATAGCTGTCAACAGCACGGGAATTCGGATGTAGACATACAAATCAAACGCTAAAGGGCGATTATCAAGCGTCTGCGTTAAATTACTATTTGACAAAATCGACACGTGTCCTAGGAAATCCCTTTTCTGTCGGAAGGCAAGGCTTAGGGGCAAGATTAAAGCCATCGTAGATTGACCAGTGGCGCTTTTTTAAAATGGTATTAAGATGTGGCTTGGTCCGGTCAATTTTATTGCATAAGTATAGTGCAGATTATGCTGAGTTGGCGCAACCTTTCATCAGGGTGTATCTGAGGAGGCAGTCTTCAAGAATGTGTGTGCCTCTGATCAGAACCCCCTTCAGATCAGTCATTATATGCTGTCGGTGACGCTTCGACCTTTGCCCTAGGCTGTGCTTTGATCCAATCGGACGTGGATAGTCCTACTGATCTAAGTTCCTTCAGCTTATAGCGGCAGAAAGTAACTACATAGTTTATGCTGGAAGCCATTTGCTATTCAATGTGCAGGTGACATGTTAAAAGTACAGTCAGACTCAAAGTTATGTTTATTAAGGTGTGTATTTCCAGGTCGGATATGCTTACCGCGCTAGCCACTGGTATATCGATCGCATCATAGTGAGAAATCCCTCGAGCATTTGCGTCGAGCGCTCGCGGGGCTGGAGCTGCATCTACTCATTCATCAAGTTTGCGCTAGATAATGCTGTTGGCGACTAAGCTAATCCGATTGCCATTGGCATCTTCCCGAATCGGCTTCAATCTTGATGGGAGATGATTTGGTACTGACACATTCGATGATATCATCATAGACACTCTATACGGCAAAGTCGACGATTATATTTCAAAGAGATTGAACATAATGTACCAAATGCGAGATGCTATAGCCGAAAGCATGGATTCGCACGAGCATATTAAATCTTATAGGCAGAGGAAACGTGCGTGAATTTGTTCAGGATAGTAAGATTTGAGTGGACAGGATCAGTCGAAGTGTCTACAGTCTTTCATTTAATTTACTCCTGTAGGTCGTACGACCATTTTCGACATGAATACCCCTAAAAACTAAGTTGTGCCCTTGCTACATTGGATACTTGACGGTCAGAGCTAGAATGCAATTGAATAATAATTGGATTGTTCCTATATGCATCCAGTGGGGTTTTGTGAGCATAATTGCACATTTGCTTTTACAGATGCAAAGCGATTCGTATAACACAAGCCAAGGCCTCAACCATTCCCTGAGAATGTTTCTAGAGCAGCGTGCTACCTTCGAGCCGCATGAGGCACCTCAAACCAATCTGCTTGCTCTTAATAGATGACTCATGTCTGTTTCGAATGCACGGTTAGCCCATCAGAAAAGGTCGACGCGCCGCCACGAGCGAGGCAAATCTCGTCAGCCAGCCTCGCAAAACGTTTTTCACCGCCTTTACCCGTTAATTAAGGAGAGGTCCCCTCGCACGTGTAATGGATAGCGAGTCTGCGATTGAACCAAATTAAAAAAAGATTAAAGTTTGATGAAATGGAAGGGCTGTCTCAACTTCGAGATCTCATAGGAGTTTAAATTTACGATTGCCCTGACGCCACCGAAGCCTATGACTTGGCCCTCTCTCTATCTCTACCAGCGGAGTGAGATAGATACGGTGTTCAGCGCAACACACTAAGGTTTGCTTTTAGATTTGAGACTTTCTCGGTAGCCTTACCAGGTTAATAACTTTAATCTAGGCTCCTCAACGTCGCCATCGTGCCTTCTAAGACATAGCATAAGTTAGGCGACATGCCTTCATCTCCCAACGACTGAATTGCTCCATATACTCTGACGCGATTGCAAAAGCGTATACCGTAGACACGGTTCTGATGAGCGCACTGATCTCCCACCCACATCTGATGCAGTCGTAAACAACCCTGCTGTGGATGTGGGGTCAGAAAGTGTTACCATAACAGATTTTGAGAAACCGTTTTCTTCCCTGACTGAGTTTCAACAAGGTATCGATTTGATCAGCCACGGTGGGGCGGGATCAAAACGACTCCATCATAAACATGATGGGAACCAGAAAAACAGAGAATTAAAACAATATACCAGATTTCTGAAAAAAAGAAAGCCAAGTGTATGTATATTTATGTAAATATATACATATGTATACATCACAAACCATCTATGAGCCTCACCAACCAGGCTATTACAGTGAAGGACGTCATGTTCCACTTACAAACAAAGATTTTTTGTCAGCATGTGATTGCAAGTCTCCCCGGATTATGAAGAAGATTGGATGACCTAAGAAAGTCGTTTTCTGTCACAACAGGCAACTGCTCAGCTTAAAAAGAAACAGGTTCGTTGATGCGGTGTCTGCAAAAATGTGGGCCATAACAGCAAAACTGTATAAAGCGTAATCTTTCTGAATTATTTCCATGTTAGAGATTATTCTCTAATTTGCAGGGTTACTTCCTGATGTTTTTATTTGTCATTTTCTCTTTGCTCACTTGATGCATTGTTGTTGACATCACAAATATGTATATAAATACATAACTAACTATATACACTGGGTATATATATTTTTTTCTCAAATTATCTGGTATATTGGTTTTATTTTTCTGTTGATCTGGTGGATTTTTTATTTTCCCAAAAACAAATTCATTGAAAAAAACAGAATTTGATCAGGCGTCATGCAATGTCGTGTGCTCGTGGCACTACTAGCGCTGCATACCGCGGCGCTATATCTATTCACTACAGGTTTTTTTCTTACCCGCTTTGAGGTATCCGATTTAAGCAGATGCCAAGCACCCCCATCAGAGACCGTTGACAACCTTCGTGGCGGCCCTGAAGACCCAGCGAGTTTAGACAATGAAAGTTGCTGGATGCCTCGACGTTTTCGCAGAGTGGTTTTCGTGGTAATAGATGCGTTGCGATATGACTTTGCAGCAACTGGGTTGAATACTAGACGATCGGCTTTTTATAGCGATCGCCTGTCGATTTTCAATGATACATTGACCCGCGAGCCAGGACACGCACTACTGCTTAAGTTCGTGGCCGATCCTCCAACTATGACAATGCAACGCCTTAAAGGTCTAACTACTGGATCACTACCGACATTTCTGGATATTAAAGACAATATGGCAGCTAGTAGTCAGATTGTCGAGGACAATTTGTTGCGTCAATTGCGAACACAGCACCGTGGCGTAGTTTTTATGGGGGATGACACATGGAATTCGCTTTATGCTCGCGAATTCACGAGGGAATTTGCTTTTGACTCGTTTAATGTAAAAGATTTACACTCGGTTGATCGCGGTGTGACGGCACATTTGTTTCCAGAGCTGATGAAGTCGGACTGGGACTTGCTGATCGCGCACTTTTTAGGAATAGATCATGTTGGCCATACCCACGGTCCCGTCTCTGTTTTTATGGCTCAAAAGCTGGATGAGATGAATATAATGCTTCAAAAATTGTTGCAAACGCTAAAAGATATGCCGGATGGAGAGGATGTACTGCTGGCTGTGCTGGGAGACCACGGTATGTCCGCCGACGGTAATCATGGCGGTGCAAGTGATGAAGAAACCGGTGCTGCGTTGTTTCTTTACAGCAAAGCGTCACTTGTGGTTACCGGACGAGTTGAGGATAGCAAAGAGGCGAAAGAACTGAAGCACTTTGCTGAGAAACTACTTGACAGCTCACGAGAGGTGCCGCAAGTAGACTTGGTGCCCACGTTAGCGCTGCTGATCGGCTTGCCCATTCCATTTGGGAACTTAGGGAGTGTGATCCCGCCACTTTTTTTCGTACCCCCACCATCATTAGGAAACAGAGAAAACAGTACGTTGGCAGCATTCCAGATGCTCAATCGGGCTTTAACCTTGAACCTTTACCAGGTGCGTCGTTATCTCTTACGGTACTCGTCCGCAACCAAATTACCCGAGCGAGCGTATGATCAACTTGAGAAAGAATATGAAGATATTAAAAGGATCAAGCAGCAACTTCAACAGGTGCAAAAAGGTTCATCCTATTCGAAGGCTGACCTTCCATTGCTTTTGCGCCTCCACCAAGACATAGCTAGACGACAACAAAATTATTTGCGCGAAGCACTATCATTAGGACGTTCTATTTGGACGCAGTTTGATTTGTGCAACATGGGCTGGGGAATGCTGCTGCTTGCGTGGACATTCCTCATTGGTGCCTCTAACACTCGCGTCTTTACTCTTCGGTCAGTTATTAGTAATTCATGGAGTCCCCCACTTGGTATTGTCGCAGCAACCAGTGGTTTGCTCATCATTTGCCCCACAAAAATCAATCTACCGTTTCTTCCTGCAGCTCCAACTTCGCGGGGACTAGTTGCAGGTGCTTGTACTGTTCTTATTGATATGAGCTTGCACTCATTCTTTGAGAATTCACTCGCGAGAATTCAAGGCAAGGTAACAAGCGTGAGAACATCGCCATCAGCGGCGGGAGTGGTGGCCACCTTTGTCGTGGTTCTTCATGCATTCGCACTATTCTCTAACAGCTATATTGTAGCAGAGAGCAATGTGATGCAATTTTTGTCAGCAACGATTGGAATTTTTCTGTTCATATGTGCGCAGCAGCGAAACTGTCGAACTGCCACAGGCGCTGCGCTAGCTTTCATGCTTGCCACGCGAATGAGTAGTGCGCTGGAGCCACCGAATATTATAAAGGCAACTGCAACTTGGGAACATACATTTGCCCCACTGATTGGAGTAGCAGCTGTTGCTGTTGGTTCCTCGTTGCAAATGGTCAGATACTCCGGACAGAAACTTTCTTTTACGGGCCATCTTATCCTCGTTTCGTCAATAATTAGCTACTGTATCTGCGCGATTTTTTGGGCTGCGTCGCCAATCAAAGCGACTTTCTGGCGACTATGGCTGCCGCGCTGCGTGTACCTAATATTTTTAGGAACTCTTGTTTGCTTATTCGTAAACATCGTACGAATGAAGTGTCAAATCAGCAATCAAGTTACAAAGTGGAAAATTGAGCCACTCCTTTTGATCTGGCAATTTTTACCAGCTTATATGATAGTGCTGGGACCCGCCTCGCCGCTATCGGTGCTGTGTCTTGTAATACAGTTTATAAGCTTTGCGTTCGTTGTTGCGAGTCACCGATCCACTTCTCCAATAACATCACATGGCATCACGCCATGGGTTCTGCTTTGGGCATCGTGTTCATATCAAGCATTTTTCACATCAGGACATTCCAACACGTTTTCGAGTCTTCAAAATGCAGCAGGCTTCGTGGGATTCGACGAATTTAACTTCTACACCGCTGGGGCTTTGCTTGGACTAAACACTTTTGGCTGCTTTGCATTTGCTATACTCGCGCTTCCTTGGCTGGACATGCAACTTTGCCAGCCGCGCCATGGCAAAGCAAATTCGTTTCTCGCCTTTCCATTATATTTTGCTCTGAACGCGTTAGTGTCCACGTTGTTTGTCGCGCTGCAGCGAAGACATTTAATGGTTTGGGCCATTTTTGCCCCTAAGTTCATATTCGACGGAGTAGTTCTGCTGGTCACCGAACTTTTATTACTAATTTTGCTGGCACCGTTTCAGAGCGCGAACAGTGGTCTTGAAAGTCACTTAAGCTATAGAGAGAAAGATGAGCTTAGTTTGCTCCAGTAGCTGTCCATCAAATTCACTTGGCTTGCCAACCAATCGTTTACCATGCATTTGGATTGATCGCTGAGGTCATAGCATGCATAATGGCATCATTCAGCTTATCACTCAGCTCCTCATCCCCCTGCTCTCTCGTCGGCGTAGCGATTTCACGAATACCATTGCATGAAATCATGACGCACTCACGCATACCAGATCCGGCGTTGAAGTTTTTGACAATGGGCTCTTCGATATGAAATTCTTCAATACTTGTCTCCCTCGGCGATGGAGCCAGCAGAATACTACTTGGAATCGTAACTCCTTCGTCTGCACATCTCGCAATCAGAATTTTAAATGAAATTTCTCTGAGGTCGCAGCTTGAACAAAACAAGCAAGAGTATACTGTCAATATATTGTATGTCTGTGCTTGAACTGAAAAGTTCGAAGTAAGAAGCGATAGAGTTGCACAATGTGCACAACTCATAATCACAATTTGGTCTGTGTACTTTTTGTATAGATGAGCAATAATAAGCGACAACAGCTCTTCGAAGTACGTCATCTCGTTGAATTGAAAAGCAGCATCCACCACATCGGATGACTCCCGCGTTTGCAGCTTGATCGTTATAGTCTTAGCGCGATTTGAGTGCAACAAAGTACCAACCGCAACGACGTATTGAAGCCATTGACAAGAATTTTTTAAATTTGGTCTGCGGCGAACGGAAAAACTTTCCGATGGAGACTGCAAACATCGTGCGATTAGATGCTTAGAATGTTATCGCGATCAAGAAATTACAGCGTATAGTGAGCACATACCTTAACATCAGAACTTGCCGGGACGCCATCGACCCAACCGTGAAGATCATCCTCTAAAGCCTTTTTTGCGCTTTGCAATACTCGAAAATAGTTACCTTGTTCAGAATCCTGTGATAGACCATCAATAAATTTGCAACAGTCAAAAAATAGTTACACTGACCAAAAAGCCAAGAGAGGACCTGTGCGTTTGAAACTTGAGGTTGTGACGTGACAATCTCGTAGTCAAAACAGCATTTAATATTTTCAGCCGCATCTAGATTTCTACCGTCGGATTCGCGAATAGAGCAATTTGATGAATTGATCCGAAAACGTTGGGGAAAAATTATTGATTCAGATTCGTATCTTTCTTCTCTTTCTATACAACGCAGCACCGAATGCGTTAATTCCGCCATGTTTACTTTGACAAAAATACGTACCACTCGTTGTAATCTGGTCATACGTTTTGTTTCTTTCGCTGGTGGTAGCCCTCATAATATTGTGATACTGATTTCGAAAATAATCGTCAACTGTTTGAAGCGGCGTTTGATAATCTTGCAGATCACGCCTATTTCTATACGGCCTAGATAAGCTATCTCTAATCTCGCTGGTCGATCCGGAAGAGGTACGTAACCAAAAGTCCTTCGTCGGAAATGTTGACGTCGGATTCTGTATCTCAGCAAAGTGAGCAATGACTGTGGATTTGACTCGCGGCAATGGGGGATATCCCATCACGAGCCTTGAGCTCTTCGCAGATATTTCACCATGATTACCTGCTTCAGGATACACCGAAGTCCCGGACTGCCTCCAGCTGGTGTTCTCAATGTTCCGATAATCTAATGATGTCAGCATGCGGCGATTTTTCATGCTGTTCACCTCAACGTCGGTCCATCGCTTTCCATCTAACTCAATTGGCACGCCCAAGTAAAACAGCATTTCTCGTCGATAGTCTGGTCGCCGCGCAATCGGGTTAAATTCCATCTTGAGATACGTGAGTCGTGGAAGTCTAGTCAGTTGCTCCACTTCTGAAATATCATGGATTAAATTATGAGAGATATCCAGTTGTTCCAGGTTGGTCAGTGTCTCGAGTCCTTTTAGCGATAAAATCTGGTTAACTGCCAAATTTAAATTCCGCAAGGCCCGCAACGACTGAATCCGTGGCACATTGAACAACTGATTGTGACACAAATTTAGTACTTGGAGCGACTTCGTGGTCATGTCGATCTCCACACTATTTATTTTGTTCCAGCCCAGGTCAAGTGTCTTCACTGCTTTAAGCAGATTAACAGACTCGTCTACCACATGCAAGTCACAACAGTTCATTTGCAATTTGGTTAATTTCCTCCAAGGCTTGATTCTATCTTTATTGGGTGCCAACAGCTGCCTTAGCGTAGTTACTTTCGTGTGCTCAATATGAAGCTCTCTCAGTTGGGAAGCAAAAACGTGCACATTCTTCAAGACTCTAGGCTCGGTCATTAGTACCTCAATAACCCGTAACGACGGAAAAATCTCTATCGGAACCGGATCTTCAACCTCTTTTGTCTCTGTTTGCGAGTGATGCAGCCGTAGTCGCTGCACCTCTCGCAAAATTGTACTCAGCTTAAGCACTTGGAGATGAGCGCTGGCCTTCACCTTAAGCTGTAATTGAGGCTGAATGGTCCAGGCCTGCACAACATTTGTCTCAGCGTCTCTCTTGGGCACCAACGCATCATTTAGACGAAAGGCCAAGCGGTCTACCCGCGCTGCGCTTAGCACAAGAAATTGCTGGTTTAGGGACGCCACATGCTGCTGTAGTGTCTCCTCTAAAACTTTGAGAAAAGTCTCCTCATCAAAGGATTCGTCCACAGTGATGCCTTGCTCTACGATGGCGGGTGTTAGAAGTTCTGGGATTCCCGAGCCTAACAACGCTCGCACTTCAAGGCGATCCATCAAGATAGGAATGTAACACAAAGTGTGCAGTACACGAGATTCTCAAAACAATTTTTTTACATGGTGTGGAAAACGAGTTAAAGTTATACTGCACTTCGCTTTTGGATGGTAGGAGACTTATTACTTATTTCAGTTTCCGGCGCAGATTGTATGTGATGCCTGTGCCACCGATGGGTGCCGCGTCACTCACTTCCTCAGATTTGTCACATTTTAGCTTTTAATATCCGAAAAGTGAACAGCATTGTAGTCAGCGGATATGGAAGTGAGAAGAGAAGAGTGAGATCGAAAAGCGATACTTTTGTAATAATGAAGTGAAGTGTGTATTGTTCTGAATAAATAAATACTTAAACTCCATCTGAGTTGCGATGAGAATATTAGTAGCCAATCTAACCAGATGAGCGCAATAAGGCTGTATTTCTCAACTTTAACGCGCTTAATCTCAGCATTCGATCGTGTAATCCAAGCGTTAAAGGTCGAACCAATTACGAAGAAAGCAGGCTGTGTAGAAATCGCTGTAGATAGACGTCATGCGAGGCAACTAATTTGAGCAAAAAACTACGTTTGACGCTTTGCTTCTTCAAAAAGAGTCTTCATAGTTTTTGTTCTGTTAGTTGTGCTCAAAACCGGTAAATCAAACCGTTAGGTCTATTCGGTATTTATCCCGTGTGAAAATCTTGCTCGAAGAAAAAAAGCTAAAGCGAGTCCCCATCCACTCTGCCCTCAGCCCTCTTCACGTCGCGTGAAGAGCGCCGCCACGAGAGGAGATTACAGAGGGAAGGGAGAAATTCCCAGAGGAAGGACGGTAGGTGTAGACAGCCAGAAGAGGCGGAAGCGGGAGAGCGTTCAGCGTAGCAGCCGTTACAACGGAAAGAAGTCGAAGGCTTGCCGCAACTTAATCGGCCGTCATCGAAGCAGTAGTGACAGCAGCGGTAGCAACTCTAGTGGTGGCTGTAATTCACGTAGTCAAAGTCGGAGCAGCAAATTTAGGCTGGGGAACCGCAGCCTTGCGACCGGCTGCACGATACCCGGCCCACTCAGCGCCAATCAGAACTTCTCGACAAGCAGCGGCGGTCAGGAAAAAAAGCTGCACGTGCGCTCAATGGAGCGTACTCCAGCTCAAGACAAGGACAGTCAGAAGCGAAGAAAAAAGAGCCAAGAAAGCACAAGTGGTCAATTTGGAGATATGGAGGAGGAAGAGCTTGAGCTTTTTCACGTGGTGCGAGACGATCTACGCCATAAGTCCACGGTAGGCTGGCAGAATGCTGTTAAGGTGCTAAATGCGGCCTATCAGCACATAGATCACCCCGAAAGCCAAGCATTTCTTGATGATTCATTTCAAAAGATCATCAGCATCATGCTTGATCAGCAGTACGTGCTGTCTATTTGAGCCTATTGACTTGCCCCCTTGTCACGTCAAGCGTTGTCTTAATGCTCTTTCTTGCTATCACAGTACCAGCAAGATCGGCTCGTTTGAAAAATCGTGTGTGACGCAGTGTCTATCGCTCGCAGTGCCGCTGGTGGTTGCGCAGATGAAGGCAGGTAAGTATTTCCAGACATTGCCAGTGCTGACTATGATTTTCAGCAAGAAAAAGACTTTCTATAAGGATTTACGCACCTCGGCAATGATTGGCAGTTATTGGAACAAAGTACCTGGATCACCGGAAGTGCGAGCACAATGCATTGAAGCGTTTTGCGAGATGAATGGATTTCACTTGTTGTTGAGCACATTGGAGCTTTTAATGCAGAATCATTGCAAAGGCGACGAACTGGAAGTTGCAATGGATAGTGAGGATATCCGAGTCTTGCTCCAGGCATTACTTGAATTTCGATCATCGGTGCCGGAAATGATTTGCACTAAAATCTCTGTGTTAATTATGACCTATTTCACAAAAATCTCGGATGTAGTTTTAAAAAAAGAGTCAACCGACGCTGTGGGAGCTGTAATTGGGATTATTCGGAGGTTGGTGGATGCAGGAGTGGTGTCACCTGACGCCATAAATGCAATATGGCTTGAAATTACAGAGAGGTACGTTGAGTCGACGTCGCTGCCGCTGCGACTCTTTGGCCTGGAGCAAATTAACCAGATTGTGAATTGTGCTCGAGCATCGCGAGCCTTCCCGCCGCGATACTTTGTTAGAAATGCTGGCACAGCTGCTATTAACGGTGTTTACGTGTTAAAGGCCAACACGACGTCGGCAACATACGTGTTCCGACAGCAAGAAACAGGTCAAGTGTTTACGCTTTTTTGTTGCACAATGAAGAGTGGATTAAAATGGTGGTTTATATCGGAGGCTGACAAGATGCAGCCTGGTTCCGACCAAGACATTGATTATTATCAGCATCAGTCACAATACGAGGAATATCTACCTCCGACGCACGATTGGATTCCTACAGGAAAAGGGGAAGCCCCAGCTCCCGAGCTGATCGCGGAAAGCGTTCAAGAGAACGGCCATGAAGACCAGACTCGATTAGATTTCATTCTCAGTGCTTGGGTAGTGGATAAAAGTATTTTGGACGAAATTTTTGGTGATAGAATCCATCGTGAGATCGTGTCGCGCAGTGCGTTGCTGGTAAAATTTCTAGCAGAATCTAACAAGCTAGATACGCACTGTGTTGATGTAATCTGGCAGTCTTGCATTCAAAAAGACCAGACTCTAGTCCATGAAATTCACAACCTTCTTATTTCTACGGTGCCTTTCTTGTCGAGTGAACTGCTGTTGCATTTGATTGAAATTATTCACGCCTCGCTACTGCGCAGCTTAGAAAAATATGAGGCTTTTCCTGAGCTCATCTCATTCTTGCAGCGGTTGGCAACTAATTCACCGAGCTTTCTCATGGAGCGTAACGTGAATGTTACGAGAGCGATTTTGCAGCTGCTTTGGTCAATACAAATGCATTGTAGCATCGCCAACATTCGACTTAGCAGAAGTCTGCGTGATTTTTTTCAAGAAGGATTACGAAGCGAATTCGGTGAGCCGCTGCGAAAGATGTTCTTGAACGAGTGTATCAAGGGAATAAAGAAGTCTTGCTTGATGTCCAACGTCGCACCCGATTTGTCAGCCCCGCGACCTGTCACATTAATCTCCCCCACGCCAAGCAGCAAAAGCACAACGACTTCAGTCAACTCAGCAGAACTCTCGAATAAGGATTCAACGGCTTCCAAAGCGTTGGAGCTGCTCAAATTTCTAATTGATTCGTATCGAGTTGACCACGGACTTGTAGTGGAATCGCTTAATCTGGAGCACGGATTAGTGAGTTTGTTATTCGACGAACTCGCAACATTTGTGGCGCGAAATACTGAAAAACACTCTTCATTTTATCGTTCGGCTATTGGGCATCGCTTGGAACTTATACACTACATTCACGTCAAGTCATTAAAACTAGAGCTCACTATCCCTCAAATTGAACGGCTGTGGCAAGTACTTTCTTCGTCACCGGCTGAACGCGAATTCTGCCTAATATTTTTTAATCAGACCAGTTTGCGGCAAGGTGGAACAGCGCCTGGCCCAAACATGGTTGGTGGCTCAATAAGCTCGGCATTTAATCTGGACGTTTGCTTATACGTTTTTAACGAGCTCCTATGCAAGCAGACCGATTTCAAGACATTAGGATGTATGGGTTATAAATGTTTTAATACCTACTTTGTCGGTTTAAATGCTCAACTCAAGATGGTGCAACGAATTGATGGCCCATCGGAGAACAACTCACCACAGCTATTGGGAATTGATGCTTTGTGGCGTATCGCGTTCGAAGCTCCACTTGAAGTAGCCGAAATGGCTACGCATGAGCTTCTTCGTGTATATGATCGATCGTCTGATGTACTTTCGCATGAGGCTAAGAGCGAATCGGATGACTCCGTAAAAGATTTCCTGGCGCGTGTATTTCAACAACTGTCGACCGTTAAGGAGAGCACACCAGAGTCACTCAAGCTTGTGCAGCAATGCTCGTGTTTGTTAACAGGACTGGTGTCTAGCGCTCGCAAAAAGCAGAACTTCGTTCCACATGGGCTTAATGGTCGTGGCGCGTACTTTACGATTAGGGTCGTCGCGCAGCGAATTCCTTCATCCAATACAAGCGGGGCAAGTGTTCCAGCCACTGTTGCCTCAAGTCGTGATAACGCGGTGCAAACAATACATACATCCGCATACTCGAATCAGACGTTATGGCATTTCCGCAAGCAGATTGAAAAGCTTTTGGGGCATCCAATTCAACAAACAAAATTACTCTCATCGGGATCTGCAATCACGGGTGACCAAAAGACACTGGCAGATCTGCAAATTACGGAATCCAGTGAAGTGCGCGTACTGATGTTCAACACGGTTGTGACACGCTCTAGTTCCGTTGTGATGGACCAGGATCAAGTTATGAATTCGTTGCCCACTTCATATTCAACTTCCTCATCTAAGCAGCACCCTGGCATTGTGATTGCTCGCAATGGTCCGTACTTCGATATTTTGTTCCGTGTCCTCGATATTGTTGAGAGTAATCCAGTGCACGAGCTTTTGTGGGCCCTATTAAAGCAGATTCCTACGAGTGAAAAGCTTTTAAATCATGTTTCTAGCATTGGCGCATTTGAGTTAAGCGAGGGAGATACTGATATGAAGTCCCCATCCGAAAAATGCTTAAGCAGCAAGCCCGATTGGTCATCTTTGGTTAGGGGTATATCATCACACCAGGCTATTTACACGCTACAAATCATGGATGCGCTCTTACTGCCTTCAGATACTGCCAAAATAACGTTTGCGCAGACTTATCGCCAGCGCTTTGTTCTGGGTGGTGGGTTTCACGAAGTTCTTTCGTACTTTATCCGCGCAAACTTCCATGCAAATTCATTTAATGAGGGCGCTGCAGTGGCGCTTCGTATCCTAAAGTTCTGTCTTTTCGACTCCGGCCATGATCACGGAATAATTTCGGCTACCGCAGATGGCCACACTTTAAATGACACATTTACTGAGAGTGTATCGCCAACTATATCATGTGAGGACATGGGGACTTCAAAAGCTGAAATTTTTGTAGAGCAAAGTCACTATGATCAGTTGGTTCAAAAAATTGCAGAGCTCGTTGTATCGGAATTTGCGCGGGTTCAAGTTACGGCACCGAAAACAAAGACGGCGTATCGTATCTTGTTTGATGCTGTCAAGACCGTTGAGTCGATTGTGTCCATCGTAAGTGATGCAGCAGTAAAGTACGTAAAGGCTTTAGAGCCGCGTACAATAATTATCGATATATTTACGAAGTTTGATTCGGACCAAGTGCGGGACCAATGGCTTTCATTGTTAAATTCCGTTTGTAAGGCGTCTGACGCGGCAGCCGAGGTGGTCTTTGAGACATGCATTCAATCCATAGATCATATTGAAAGTGTAAGCGTCCCGTGCGACCAGTATACGCGCATGCTTTGTTCATTAGCTCATCTTGAGCGCGGCAAGTCATCTTTTTATTGTGAAACGCTGGCGCAGGTTGTCGTGGCAAAGCTGCGTTTTGGTTTTTCAAGCAAATTTCTCGCTTGCAACGAGCGTTCAGGCGAAGTACTGATAGGCTTCATGGAGTTCTTGCGTGAGGTGCTAGTGGTGCATGCTGATGTACGAGCCAAAATTGCTTCCGACATCGTAGACGTCGTGTACGAGGAGTGTTTATTTACGCTGCCATCCGAAGATCGCCGACGCTGTCCGTTGTGCGTGTCGCTGGAGACTCGACGCCCAGCATTCAAGCTTTTAGCAAGTGCAATTTCTTCAAACGCTAGTATTTTGCGTAACTTACAAGACCGCCTGATAAATCTTTTTACGAGGAGTGATGCACTTCGTGGTAAGTGGGGTCAAGAGAATAATATTGAAACGCGTGGTAATGGCGAGCATGTGGGGCTAAAAAATCAAGGCTGTTCTTGCTATATGAACTCATTTTTACAGCAGTTGTTCATGCACTCTACACTGCGGCAAGGATTGTTAGGGGCCAAAGTGGAACCTCGCCCCATTTATCAAGAACCATCAAAAGCAGAAGCTGAAAGGTCCCCAGAGCGCTTGATAGGATGCCGTGTAGCCCTTGAATGCTTGGGTGGCAGGGTTTATGAAGCGAATGTTATAGGGTACGATGCATCGACGGGCCAGCATACACTGCGATACGAGAACGGTGGCGAAGCGACTTTTGTGCTAGCAAAAGGACGACCAGGAAATGAAAATGGTCGCTATGTGATTTTGCAACCGGAGTTGACGGGTATTAACGCAACCTTGGAAGTTCTACGTCAACTTCAACGCACATTTTGCTACTTACGTGACACTGAAATGCGTTATTTCAATCCGAAGGCATTTGTAGACTCTTGCTCTTGCCTAAACTTGGAATTTTCGGTGTACCAACAGAATGATGCGACTGAATTTTGTGATAAGTTATTGGATCGACTTGAAACGGGACTGAAAACAACACCTCAAGGCACGAGATGTCTGCAGGACGTTCTTGGCGGAAAATTGATTTCTCAGAAGCTTCCAAAAGATTGTGGACACCGGTACGAGCGCGAAGAACCTTTTATTCGTTTAGAGTTGCAGATTCGTGGAAAAGAAAGCATTGAGGAGTCCCTCTCTGCGTTTGTTGAAGGCGAATTGATGGATGGTGACAACAAGGTAGAATGCGAGCTGTGCGCTACAAAGAAGGCGGCTGTCAGGCGAACGTGCTTTGGTTCACTTCCCAATCTGCTCATTCTCCACTTAAAGCGCTTCGATTTAGATTACACGACTTTCGAAACTGTCAAGTTGAACAATCGGTGTTCGTTCCCTATGCGTTTGAGCATGAAACCATACTCTAAGGCGGGTATTGAGGAGCAGGAGACTAAATCAAATTTGCAGCAGGATCGTGAGATAACGTCGATGGAGGAAGACATGGTATCTGATGACTCAAGTGACTCTGATGAATTCATGGCGGAAGTGAACGGTGATACGCGAGCAAATCGCACTTTATTGTCAGCTAGGTCAAGCATCACTCTTGCTGCGTCCCCGCAAAGTAAAACGGATCCAAACAGTACTGAACGCGATGACAAAAGTAGCGCCAAATTGGACCCAAATTACGAGTACCGACTCAAAGGCATTCTTGTGCACTCAGGAGTAGCCCAAGGTGGCCACTACTATTCCTTCATTTATGACCACATGTCTGAAAAATGGTTCAAATATGATGATGAGGACGTGACACCATTTGATCCAGTCAACATCGAGGCTGAGTGTTTTGGAGGAGTGCAACGGCGCTCATGGCACGGGTCGAACAACGCAATGGAGATGGAAGTTTTTAGCAACGCGCTTATGCTTTTCTACGAGAAAGTTATTCCCATTGAGCCTGTAGCGACACCAGGCACTATAGCTGGAATTGACACTGAAGCAATTACTCATGTTGCGGCTCCAGACGAAGAGCGCTGTGAGTTTGAAGCCGAAGTGTGGAAGTCTAACGAAGCGTTCTTGCTGAATTCGTATCTGTTTGATGTAGAATTCCACGAATTTTTACGTGAGATGGTTCACTCTCAGTACATGAAAGATAATGTAGTCCCAGCAGTAAAAAATGATATACCTGTGGCATCGTCGTCGTCCCCACAAGCGAATGATGTGTCGATTCCGCCAGCTGCACCGACTGCACTAGCTGGGTTAGCCGGGTCAGCTGTGAACGTTGAGGAAGAAATTCAAGTGACGCTAACGGAAATTGGTGTCGAGTTTGTGCTGAGTGTCTTACTTCATTCACGCGAAAAGCATGGAATTGCGCGGTGGATCACGATTCTCGCGTCCAAGTTCACACGATCCAAAGCTATCTGTGCACGATTTTTCTCCGCATTATCGACGTCAAAATGCATTCTTTGGCTACGTGGGTTTCTATTTGAATGCCCAGACTCAATTGCCCGTCAGTCATTTGTACACCTAGTTTCGCGGGCTCTTACTGCATTTGAGGCTCATCGAAAAGTCGAAAAGTCGACTTTAGATAATGTGAGTTTGGAAGTGGCGACAGTAGCTGATACTGCTACCATTCGTACATTTTTAGAGGCCATCGCTACATTTTTAGATCAAACCTCCATCATGCAGCAGTCGCATCTGGAAGAGTGTTTCATGCTTTTGCGCAATTGTGCAGAAATTAGCGACATAGCAAGAATGCAGCTTCAGCAGCTCGAAATGATTGCACGACTAATTAATTTCTTTTTATGTGATCGAGGCCCAAGCGCATTAAAGAATGCGTTTCCGTCCTCGACGTTGCATCCGACGACATCACGATATGCGTCACCAGATTACCAGTATCTTTTAGAGGCGGTTATTGCGATGTTAGGTCTACCGCGGCGCATGACAGAACCTTTACTTATGGAGAGCAGCACACAGTATCCCCACCGCACAATCTTATCGGAAAAAGCAGAGCATGCACTTACCGAGATTTTTGAAGACTACCAGACGCGAAAAAGCCCTAGTGGCAATCCTGGCCTTGGTCTTGAAGAGCTAAAAAAAATCTTTTCCGTGACTCTGCGCAGTGTTATTGACAGTCCAGCAGTTGAGCAGCAGGCTCAGCAAATGCTAACGAAGTATGGTTCGCGGGGTAATGGCCCTACGAAGGATAAAGCGGGTACCTCACAGGTAGAGCTTGATGGGTTCATTCTGTACTATACGGACATGGCTGCCACCTCGACGAAATCAGTATTACAAGATCTACGCGCATTTGGCTTCAGTGAAGATCTTCAGCGACACTCGCTGTTTAGTGGAGATTTATCGACTGGAGCTCAAATTCTTGAAGGTCTAAGTCCCTTAAGTCGTGGTGCGTTGCTTAATGATGTGTTTTTTGATTCAGCACTCGAAGAAGAAGCAGAAACGACATGTGAATTACTTTTGCGGTTAAGCTTGGGCGATAACGCGACATCCTTGCGATTATTGCGTGCACTTCTGAATTGCCTCCAGAGTACAGAGACGGGATGGAAGGGACAACCTGTTGTAGACGCTTGTGCGCTTGCAGTTCAGCGGGTACTAAGTTTTAAAAGCGATTACCAAAGGGACCTTGTCGAGGTGGCAATGAGTCACAGCGACTATGGCTTGCTTAGCTCGTCACACAGTCAAGAAAATATTCGCTCGCGCCATATGACTACCGCTCATGTCTCTCTCTCCATATACCGACGGCTGGTTCTTGTGTTGGAATTACGAGCACGCGTACCTGCAGTCAGTGTTTGGTTAGACGACCATCGAAGCAAGTGGGATTGGCTGTATGAGTGGTTGCGTCTTGAGTCGCTTCAGCCTAGTCTTGGTGGACGTCTGTCGGTATTAAAGCGTGAGCCAGCAAAACTTGAAGTGTTGTGGAGTTTGGGCGAAGCCTTGGGTATTCCATATCAGGAGGAACAGCGACGGTATGTAGTAGAAGGCGCTGGTTACACTGCTGTTAATGGTGTCTACATTAGCACATCTCACACCCACGACAATTGCTTAACATATGCTTGTGTCAAAAGCGACATCGAGTACACGCTATTTCGGTGTTGCATGCCGAGTAAGGCGCGTCGCTGGTACATTTCGTACTCTCCAAACAAGAACTTGCTCGGGACTATGTCAGATGAGGACTTTTACTTTGTCCAGTCGCACATTGATGACGAGTTTCCACCGATAGATGGATGGAAGATTTGGGCTAAAAACGACAAGGCCAAACCGCCTGCGCCCACTGTGCGTCTTTACAGCTCGACTGTGGCGGCACTGGATGGGGATGGAGACGCTGCGGACTCTACCGATGGTTTACTAACAGGGAGTGGCTTCGTCGACCATGATCAGGAGTCGCTAGCTCCAAGTGCACCTCCGTCTGACCTGGTTGCCGAAACTGTGGACGTAGACGCTGACGCGGAGACGGTGGGATATGATGATAGTGAGGATGAGATTCGCGATAGCAACGAGCGCTTTCGTGCGGTGCATTTGGACACACAGGAAGATGGCAGCAGTACGGATGACTTCATGTGAGCGAGTGAATCCGACAAGATGGACATTAATAAGCCTCTCACTAGTTTCCCGGTCGTGATTAAATACTGGCGACGAGCGAAGGGTCATTGCTTAGGAAAACAAATTGCTATTTTACAATATGCTTGTCAAATGATTTGGTTGAGCTCAAGGACGTAAGTTTTGTTAGCATTCGAGTCGTCGAGCACTTCTATATTGCCAATACGCCCAAAGCCTCGACCCATCGTCAAGTCTTGCCCTCAACGATAGGCTGAAAAGATCATAATTCGTTTCGATGAACGAATTAAAGAGTATTTCTGATATCAATACGTTGCCCAATCTCTACATACCGCGTCTTCCCTATGTAATCCCATTAATGTCTCTTAAAAATGTTGATGTCCTGGTGTGGCAAAATTTTGTCGCCCTTGTGTTCTCTACCAGACGAGCCATCTGGTTTTGAAAAATCGCTGAAGAGTCATATAGACCATTTATAAGGGCAAGAGTATTTATTTAACTTTGTGTGTGCATCTCGTATGGCATAATCTACCATGCCAATTTGTATGAGAATTGTATACTCTCGAAAAAAGTCTGAGCGATTGACAAAATGTGAGAGATTATTGGTGTATAAGCGCTTAATCTACGCCAGTCGTTTCCTCGAAGCCTTTTTTTGTAGTCTTCGACTAAAGTAGAACCTGTCTATAATAAACCTGTTTAATTTAAAACCCTTTCTAATCTAATTTGATCAAAAGATATAGATCCATGTTGGGCACCATACAGTAGAACCTGTCTAAATTAAACCTGTTTAATTTAAAACTCTTTCTAGATTAAACACTGCCCCCCAGTCCCAACATGTTTAATTTAGACAGGTTTTACTGTATAATGTTTAATGGACCGATGCTGGAAAACCATGCTTGAAAACCAATCTTGTAAAATAGAGAACTATCGATATGATATAGGGAGTCTTGCAGAAAGATTGCAGTCAAAGGGCTTTCCCAGCATGGTCCGTTGAGCTCGACAATTGCAAGGCAAACCATTTTTTTGCGATTCGTGCTGTACTCTCTGCAAAAAGGGATCATCCAGGGATCAGATTTGAAGAAAGCGAGCGCTCTGCTCTTACAAAGGCAGCAAAATTTTTACCGGAACCCATTTCATGCGGACGGTCAGTCAACAGGGCTAGTTGTGGAGTAAGCACGACAGCCACGGTGCCAGCCGGTAAATTGAACGGTGTATTAAATACCATTGACAGCATTTCAATACCAGCTGAAGAAACAAGAGCAAAGGCAGATATTAGGGGTGAAGAAGTCGCTTGCCCATGCATTATTTTGCTTAATAAATCTTCTGTTTTGTTGCTCATGTTCGGTCAATGTAGCAATGTAGTCGGTAAAGGTTCGTACTATCGTATGCAAGCAGACGATCAAGATCGTCTATTTTATATAACCACGGCAACCAAACCGGCTGTAAATATAAGATTCTCAAAACGAGACGTTCCTGTAGTAGCACAACGCATTTTGCCACCAAATCAAGACATCCAGCGCCGAACATCGAAATCAGCAGCCACGAGGAATACAAGTCTCTGGAAAAATTCGTCATCGCCTCAGCAGCTCATACTCTTCAAAAGCATTTCCATCTTCAGTTTGCAACATCACGTTGTCAGCAAGCCAGCAACATTTTCTTTTACAGTTGTGAAGTCCTTCATTTCACTGTGCTTTAATCTGCCTCGAATTTCTCTTCCACATTTCTTCTCTCGTCTACCATCTTGACGCTCAGCTTAAAATTTAGCAAAATGGCAATCCAAATGGACCTTTCACAAAGACCACAAGTTGGCACAAGCCCGCGTTTAAGTAATTCATGGAGTCGATGTGATCAAGCCGTCGCTCGTGTCGCTCCTATCTCCACTACGACGTGTCAAGTTTGCTCCAACTGCATCGCTAAGGGCGAATGGCAACTTGGGCTCATGTTCATCCACGTCGAAGGATTCATGTTGATGGAATGGTTTCATCTGCAGTGCTTCAAATCGCTACAGGGAAATGGGCTTACAAATGTTCTCCAATCCGTGCAGAATGAGATGACTACGTCGCAAAAGCAAGATTTCCAGCTGGCTTGCCAGAAAATGGAATAATAAGTTGATGTCTAGTGCCGTTTGTGTCGTTGAGTACGTGCCTGTCGACAGTGGACACCCAGAGCAAGTAAGAGAGAGGAAATAATATGAACAAGTTTATACATTTAGAGATTGTGAGATGCACTACGCATCGTCATAAAGTTTAGGTAACTACCTATCATTTACATCACAATAAGTGTCATCAACAAATGCTCAGTGCACAAGGCAGACTACCTTCCTCTGGCCGATGGCCGCTAAATTACAGTGGCAGCAAGCTATCAAAGTTTTGAGATCAGTGGGTAGCTTAGACTACCACCACAAAGTTTACTTCATGGACAACGCTTTCACAACTTTAATGCTTCTGCTTCGAGAATTATTAAGATATATGTGTAGGCAGCTGACATTGTGATTCAGATAGAGTCGACAAAGTCGCTAAGGCACAAATTTTGCTTTGCTTGATAGAGGTGATAGCATATACTGCGCAAAGGACTGGATCTGGGATCTCAATTGAAGTCAAACATAAACAACTAACAACACCAACGCATGTTATCAACACAAACTGATTACTATTGGTGCCTTTCCAATCTAATCCTCCTTCTCGGCTGTCATTGCTTTCAGCGACCATTTATCGCGCTTAATGTCCAAATGGAGTGGCGCCCAATGCAATTTCTCAGTAACGACTTGTGGACCTTTTGTTGTTAGCTTCGTCAAGTGAGCATCTATAATCTGTGTTGGTACGACATAGACATACTGTCCACCAAGATACTTGATCATGTTAAGGTGCTGCAGCGTAGCGATGATGTCCTCATTCTTGATAGACGTCAACTAAAAGCAGCAACGAAGACGTAAGGCACAGACAGAAATGAAGAATACATAAATTCAGCATACCCGAGTAAGTTCCATTATGGACACTTCCCTTTCGGGATAATCACGCAATATGCGAAGCAGCTCACGTGTCCAATAGCTTCGATAGCTTACAAGTCCTAAGTCCGATAGTGGCTTTTCGGGTGACCCCACCTTCTCCTCTTTCTTGCTAAGCTCGTACGAAAGTTGAATGATAAAGTGACCATAGCCTTTTCGCTGGTGACATGGGAACGTTAGTATACAAGCCAAATTGTAGCCCAGCTCAGAATATTTCTCTTTAGAGAAGTAGCCAACTGGATGGAATCCTCGCGAGTCAACTTCACAGATAATGTAGAAAAGGAATGGGTCAACGTCGTAGTAGAGCGTCTTGTGGTCCAGAAACAACCTTTAGTGATGCATGAAAAATTCTTTAATGCCAATGTATCTCATGTTTGAATACGACACGACATACTTGGCAAGATAGCAGAGATTCTGACAGTAGACTTTGGAGATGGCACCGTCCACTTCAAAGACGCTCACATTGTCATACCGATAGATTTCATTACCCGGGGGGTGCTAAAATGAGAGTGAAGCGGTAGTGATTAGAAGAAAAACCACAGTTTCCGACAAAGCGCACGTACGCGATTACAAATTCGCCGCTCTTGATGCAATCTCAGCTCGCGTTTAAAACGAAAAAATGCCATACAAAATTCGCAGAAATATAGCTAAACCGCAGGTAAGCATTTGGACATGACGCCATTACGTTGCAACGTACACAATCAATTGACCCGTTCGGGTAATACTCTTTTGGAAAAGGTGAAAAATACCATGCTGCCATCCGAAAGCGTCCCATCTCCACAGATCGCACATTCTAACCAGTCTTATCTTCATTGTAGATACTAATCTTCCTGAGCAGCTCAATCCACCCACCTTAACTTTAGTAACCTCCTCGTGTTCTCGAATACTTGCAGCATCCATGCCTTCGTGTTCGTCATGTTCTTCTTCTTGAGGTACAAAATCCTGATCATCTGGTGTCTTCCGCTTTTGCCCTCGAGTACGGGCTGAGGCATCGTTACTTGGAGCTACCATTACGTCCTTCTTGTCTCCTGAACCGGTTGCCTTACTCTTGCTGCGGTTTTTTGCGTGTTGCTCCTTTTCTTTCTCCTTTGCATCTTTCTCTTGCAGCTTCAATGCTTCCTCATCAGTACCTCGGCGCACAATTTCGTGCTCATTGATCCACTCGTCCATCCGGCGATTAAACTGCAAGAGATAACATTAACATCGATTGGTCCAAACAACATATATCAACATGAATTAGTCACGAACATCATGCCAGTGCACGTAATATTTAAAGCGTTCGTTGCTCAAAGCAGCTGTAAAAATTGTATATTAGTATTCGTACAATCTTTTGTCAAAGCACAGAATGAAGTTTCATACTACGCACTGCGATCAATCACGACGCATGTGCGCTCGACTGTCCCCATCCAGCGTGCCACCAGTGTAGCCCCTACAGGATATCCCGGATCGTCACAAGACTCTTCGTCCTTGCACTCCTTCGCGACGTCGCTATCGACATCGGCACTCGACCGCATTTTTACAACTTGAATTTTTACAAATATAAAATCCCCTCATGGTAGTGACTTTTCGCTCACTTGTCTGATAAAGATGGAAGATGAACTGGAATTAGATGAGCGCATCACTGCGCAACAGCCTTTGTTGAAGGTAGATGAGCGAGACTATGGCATAAGAAAACGTTCAAATAAGCCGTGGTATCGACGTCGCCTGGCAGCCATATTGAGTTCCGTTCTGCTGCTGTGTGGCCTCTCATACTTGATCGTTTCCAGCCAGGTCTCACGCATCGCCGCAAAGGCCATAAACGACTCCGTCATGCACATTGAGAGGATGGATCTAAGTCGACCACAATTGGATTCTATAACGCTTAATCTCAGTTTGAGCCTTAAAGCAGCGTCTTCATTTCCGGCGACAGTAGAGCCTACCATGTTCACCATAAACTACGACGGCCTCCATGTTGGCACATTTCGAGCTCCCTCAATGACCATAACCTACGGCATTAACCATCAAAAATTTTCTAACTCGACCCTTTCCATTCAAGACAAAAAGGCGTGGGATCGATTTGCAGGGGAAATGCTGAGACGCAACAGTGTAAAATATGAAATCTCCAGCTTATTAAATATCCACGTTCGATTGCTCGGAGGTCTGGTCACGCTAAGTGCATTAAAAGTTCCGCTTAATAAATCGATGACATTTAAAGGAATGGGCGGCCTACAAGATTTGCAGATTGTAGGTGTGGAGATGCAGCACTCGACTCCAAAACAAGTCTTTGCGACCATTAAGACATGCGTACGCAACCCGTCGGTCACGACTATCAGACCGATAGGAGCGTTATGTCTTCAGGCTTACTATCCAAAACTAGGACCTGAGACACTTGTAGCGCACTTAACGACGCCAGCAGATACGGGATTACCAGTTGCAGACGGTCAAGCATCACATCCATACTGTGCATCGCTGCAGAGAATAATGGATATGAAAGTGGGGTATAATTTGATGGAACTACACGGTGAAATGCTGGGCAACAATTCAAACGCTATAAGCGAATTGATATCCAAGTATTTAAGCAACGTGTCCGCTGAGCTGACAGTAGTGACGTGTAAATTTCAAGCGACTTCGGTGGAATTGTTCAACGAAGCGATGAAGAATCTTACGATTAAAAGCTTATTGCCACCACAAAAAGAGCCGCTGATTGAAAAACTATATTTTCGCGGTATCGAATTGCATGCCCCCGAAGAAGGCAAAGAGAACGATATTGTGCAGCTTAACACAGACGTCTTGGTAGAGGCTTCGAGTCCTTTAGGACCCAACTCGCCATTGAATATCACGAATGTGCATATGAATGTCAGTCTTAAAGATGCGGATGTGGCACTAGGAATACTGACAACTGTGTCCGTCGACATCATCAATGGAAAATTGGTGGGTCGAAGCAATATTTCTGTCGATTGTCTAACGGAGCTCGACTTAGCGGATAAGGGAGATGCGTTTGGCAAATTCGTTCGCGCATCTATCGTTAAGGACACAATAGTACTAACTCTTGCTGGCGAGATAGATGTGGTATGCAGTGGCGCTCTAGGTACGGCTAAACGAATCTTTTATTGTATATTCAATTAGTATCACTGTTGTTGGTTTTGGCTACATAGGAACGCTTAAACTTTCTCGGTTGCCTCTTCGCACCACTGCTTTGCTGAATGGGATGAACAACTTCCAAGACATGACGGTTAAGAGGTTTACGTTACCAGGAACTGGCAGTGCGTCCGAACATGAAGAGCCATTAGAAACACAAATTGAAATTCGCAACCCGTCTGCATTTAAAGTAGCCATTGGAAATCTTATGATGGATTTAAGTCTGAGGTCGCCTCGAGAGAAATTCGGAGTGCTTCATGGTAAAATGAACTTGATCCCAGGTAAAAATCATTTAAAAATGTATGGCCATCTGAAGCCAGCTAAAAATGCAGCTGGACTAGTGAGTGCTGCGGTGGCAGAACTTTTCTCTCGTTATTTGCAAGGTCGAAGCTCTCAAGTTGCTGTTACAATCACGGGTATTCAATATGCCGGCTGTGTGTGGATGGAAAAGGCAATATTAGGATTGACAGTCGGGGCAAGCTTTCCTGGAGTCGAAAATAGTTTCAATATGATAAGAAATATAAACATGACACAACTTGATGTTATTTTGGACGAGGCTCCGCCTAGTGAGAGGAACATGTTGACCAATACGCGTATGCAGGTTCGCACTGATATGAGTGCGAAGGTGAAGATGCCAACTTCGATCAATATGCCATTAAAAATTTTAAATTTGTCAATTACGCTTAGTCTGGAAAACGAGCATGGCGATCATCTTGGGTCATTAGTATCTGATAGAGAAGCATGTGAATTCAATCAGACGAATGATGGAGCTTTTCGTTTAAATATGACCCACTTCTATTCAATTGGATTTGACAATTACCAAGAGGTTAACGAGATGACTGTTTTCATTGGGAATTTGCTCACCCAGAATACGAGCATCATGATGAAATTGGCTAGTGATATTGCTGCCAATGAAGGAGCTTTTCCAGATGTTGAGACGAGAATGGGGGTGCTAGCCCTCAGCAAAGTTCCAGTACGAGGTGAACCTCTTATCCCCGGTATGGACTCTTTTCGTCGACCACCGGTCCAGATTCTTGGTGTCGACATTCAGCGAGGATCATTATCATCACTAGTGATGACAATGAACATTTCGTTGCAAAACCCTTCGGTCGTGCAGACAAAGCTGGGTTCGCTTGTACTGGACGTTTTTTCCGCTGGAGCATGGATGGGTTCTGCCAAGATTTTAGACTTCAGTCTTCAGTGCTGCGGCCAACGTACTGTTCTCAGTGGAGAGTTTGTATTTAATCCTCAGACAAAAGATCTTGCTGCCGCAAAAAAATTTCTTTCGAATTTCGTGTGTGGCTACTTTACTCATGGTGGTGGTCAGGAGGTCTGATATTAATTATTTGTGATAGTGCAATTTTACTGATCTTGCGATTGACACTTGGGTGCATATGATACAGATTGCAATTAAAGGTTCCGTAAATAGTACCTCGCTAGACCTTCTTCAGCCTGCAATGAAGATTTTGGCAATCCCTACTGTCTTGCCTACTTTAGGTGATCTGTTCCCAGCGACACCGACACTTGTGACCTCTTCGCTATTTTACATTCCGTCTCTTTTTCATTTAACGCGAATACCGGCCTCGCTCGAGCTGAGGAATCCGTTTAGTGCAAGTATCACAATAACCGATGTGGACTTGGAGATCTTCCCATGTAAGGATCAAGTTTCAGGTATGTACGCTAAAAAATATGCTACCTGAAAAAGTTTACTTTTGTGTTTTTTCTAGATAGTGGCGTACTAATGTGCAAAACGTACTTCGCCAACTCTCTCGCGCGTTTCGCTCCTGCATCGCTCAATCCGATATTTATTCCTGCAAAAACCAACAGCTGCTTCTCGTGTTGCCAGGGCTTTCAATGCAGCGAACGTGTTCATTTGTGTCCACGTGCGTCAGCTGGTCAATGCTTAAGCGCCGAAATTCAAAGCTTTTTAAACCCAGAAACCATCGCGGTCATCATTCATTCGCTGACAGGTGGACTGCTTATGCGTGTCAATGGCACCATAAGTGCAATGATCGGGGACTACGCTATGCGCTTGTTCTACCAGCAAGATGGACTCTTGGTCAAGATGGCCAAGCTGGACATGGAGCTATGAAAGTCGCCGCAGTATGGCGCGTGGTTTCTAAGCAATTTTTGTTTCTACTTTTTATTTATTTTTTGAATGGCAATTGCTTTCTATATATATGAAACGCTTGGTATATTAATGATATTGGTTAATTGAAACCAAAATCGAGTCCGAGATTACTCTTAAGAAATCGCTAACAGCATCTTGCATGACAACATTTCTACTTGGTCTTTTTTGCTTGAGCTTCACTGTGAATTTTATTGACGTAAAATGTAATGAAAAACATTAAAAATTTCTTGTAAAAATGAAGAATGAATTAAAATAACTTTTATTATTCGCCTTACAAAAGTAGCTTTGGTTCTGATGGGATAATATTGAACTCAAATGGATTCCACCTTGCACATCAAATCGACCATTGCGGCACAAACGCTGCGCTCATCATTGAATGCGAAACCCGTTGTATTCTCTAAACGGGTAGGGTAGTCGCGGAAGGTTTTATACGAGCTGGACTGACGATAACCGTTACCGTCTCTGAAAGAGGGTCTGCCGCCACCCTGGCGACGAGCACTTAACTCTGGTCATAGTTCGTTAGTTTTCTCGTTGACCAAGAATTTCAATTGCACACGATACGCCAGGTTAGGCGGTAAAACTGTGACATCTGTCGCACAGACAATTTCCCTTTTGAAAATGCCTCTTCGATAGATCTATCTAGTAAGTGCCCATTCCAGTGTGCCTGTCATACCGCTAGAGCAGCGCGTTGATACTCAGGTTGGAGCTCTGCCGAATTTATGACCATCTCAACCTCTTTTTACGAACAAAAATATTTTTTGTTCCTAACCTCGAAGGACTGGATGCACAGCACCAGCGGTAACACTGTTGGAGTTGTTAGAGTGACTTGTGCTGCCACAGACGCCTTGTTGAGGCATATCGTGAGGTGTCTCACCCGCACAATTTCGTAGCTGATAATCATCTCCAGATGCTCGAAACTTTCTTTCAGCCTAGCAAGTGTACCTCGTTATATCGAGAACAGATTGGCGAACATATCCTTTTCTATCCATGATGATGATAAGTGCTACCCGTTGTAACGGGGCTGCCGTGCACCCTTCACAAAAAAGATTTGACTCGACGAGTTCATCGATCAAATACAAAGGCTATCAATAATTCTATTGCTTTTATTCTAAAGTGATACTTAAAATTTTATCAAGCTGGGTTAGTGAAAAATATCACTTGCAAAACCAAAGTCAGGAACGATGGCGAAGATTGTGGGTGCACGTGAGTCGTTAATTGAATTATCCACTGCAGCTGAAGTGCAGCAGAACATCGAAACATCGGTGCTTCGAACGGCAGAATTTTTTGCACTTACCAAGCGCAACGTCTCGTTTGTTTATGACTACGCACCTAGGTATGACTAGCACTACACGTGCCGATCAATTAGTCAATAACAATATGTGTACTTATCGTTTAATAGCAAAAAAGTGCGTGTGCGTACCAAATTGAATGACACTTATTTGCTGGAGGTTCCTGAAGCGTTACTGGAAAACAAGACTGCGACTGGGGCTGTTGATCCGACATCTACGCCAATAGAAGCTGCTACGCTTCTGGCCTCTGATTCTGTCCCAGTTGCGGCAGATGTTGTCATGAGTGGCCACCCAGTTCCTTCAGCACCAGGTATTTCAATCGGCATCGAAGGATCACTTCCGACAGAAAAGCCCTCGTTTGTGGATCAAGTGGCGAAAGAGGCCGAGAAGGAGCTGGCAATTAAAAAGCGAAAACTGTACGTGTGGTACAGTAACTGTCCCCGGATCCAGACATACATCTGCGTTGTATAACATGCTAATTTCAAGTGTGCTTAATCACAGCAGTATGGCCTCCGGTGTCAACGGAAACATGACTTCGGCAGTTGTAGAATACAACAAGCATACAGAGACGAGGGCTCAATTCGGGTCACGCGCAATTGTTCGTCGCCGGGCGACTGAGGTGCCAAAGCCTAAGTGGCACGCTCCTTGGAAGCTCAAGCGTGTTATAGCAGGGCACCTTGGCTGGGTGCGCTCTATCTCCGTAGATCCTACAAATGATTGGTTTGTCACTGGATCTGCCGATCGGACTATAAAGGTATGGGACTTGGCATCGGGTCAGCTCAAGCTCACCCTTACGGGTCACATTAATGCGATTCGAGGTCTTGAGGTAAGTCCGCGTCATCCGTACCTATTCTCGGCTGGAGAAGACAAAAAAGTGCTTTGTTGGGACCTTGAATGCAATAAAGTCATACGCAGCTACCATGGCCATCTGTCGGGGGTCTTCTCACTTAAGGTGCACCCTACACTTGATGTTCTCGTCACTGGTGGTCGCGATGCTGTCGCACGTGTAAGAATTAGACAAAATGTCATTAGCATGTCTTGGGCACAAGAAATGATGTACTTTTATTGCTATCGGTAGGTATGGGATATGCGAACAAAAAACCAAATTCACGTGCTTTCAGGTCACCAAGGTACTGTGTGGACTGTGGAGACGCAAGCAACCGACCCGCAGATCATCACGGGCTCAAGTGATAGCACAATCAAGGTATAATTGCGTTTAGACTATGACGTCAATTAGTATCTCCGTTTTACGCCTAACTTTATATATGCGTTCCTGTAGTTGTGGGACCTTTCCGCCGGTAAGGTGATGACAACTCTGACGAATCACAAGAAGGCGATTCGCGCAGTCACAAAGTCCCTAACTGTAAGTCTTGCTCATTAATAATTTTTTTTGCAGTTTCAGATGCTTACCCTGTGTTTGTAGGACCATACATTTATGTCGGGCGCTGCCGACAATATGAAAAAGTGGGAGGCGAAAGAAGGTCGCTTTTTGCGCAATTTTTCGACACACAATGCCATTATCAACTCCATTTCAATAAACCAGGACGGTGTGATGGTTTCATGTGGAGACAATGGATCCATGCGATTCTGGGACTACCAGACAGGATACTGCTTCCAAAGCGATACGACGAAAGCGCAGCCTGGATCGTTAGACAGTGAAACTGGAATTTTTGCATCGGCGTTCGACAAGACGGGCCTGTACGTGTCCGCATGTAGAAATTTTTTTATCGCAATGTATGTGATCATATTTTGTGGTGTGCGTTGTTGCAGGCGGTTCATCACTTGCGAGGCGGATAAGACCATCAAAGTGTGGCAGGAAGACAGCTCCGCTTCAGAAGAATCGCATCCTATTGACATGGATCAGTGGACTAAGCAGTTTACGGCTTCAAAACGATACTAGGCAATCGACCGCTGATATGCTGTTCCTAGCTCGTTACGCTGCCGCGTAAGCTCCCATGAAAATATGTACCGAACATTACTGATTGTAGCGCATATACTCAAATTTTACGGCAGACAATATTCACACAAACGAGAAGCTGCTTGTTATGCTTCTGATTTCCGGTTCGCAGATTTTTGAAGAATTAAAATCAATCGTGCCATCACGAACACCCTATTCTTTCTATCATTTGATCCTCCTTACTTGTATTACATTATACATCAACAAATATTTTGTACTTCGATAGATATTCTGCTATTTGAGCTTTATTGTTGATATGAATCATAAAATTTTTTTGAATCTATTTCAAAATGACATTTTGTTTTAGTAAAGTGGATAAACCTCTTCTTAATATTGGGTTGGGTAGGTGGTCTGAAGGATTTCTCCTGACCCACTAATCTTCACATTTGACTCATGACTAGCGCAACACCGATGAATCCGAAAAAAATGAAAGTGAGCGAGCTGCGGGCAGCGCTAGAGTCGCGTGGGCTAAGCTTTAATGGACTTAAGACGGAGCTGATTCAGCGCTTAGAATTAGCACTTGACGAAGAAGAATTTGGTAGCGAGGCGCAGGAAATGGAGGAGCTGAAGGCACCAAGTCCCAAGCAGACAAAGAAGACAGATTTGAAAAAGAAAGATTCACTTGCCGGCGTTGCATCGATGCAGGATTCATCAAAAGGCACGAAGTCATATAGTCAATCCTTCGTAGAAAACGCCGAGCCTTTCGCCAAAAATGCTACGACTACTCCCGTTGAGAAAATTGACAACGTGGAGAGTGATCCTGTTGCAGGTGCTGTTGTCCCTGAGTCGGACACGAATCAGGTTAAACTGAATAGAACACAGGGAAATGAGGCAGACATGGGAACCTCTTCCCAGCCTATGACGGAGAAGGTCAAACGTGCAGCCCGTGCTGCCAAGTATGGCATCCCTTTGAGCCTTGTCGACAAGAAAGTAAGTTATGTATATGAATGCATAAGACTGTGTAAATTTGGACCACTTATCAAGAAATCTTTTTAATGTGACGTGATAGGCCCTACGCGCGAAACGTTTTCATCTCCCCAGCGCAGGTGCGTGCTTTGCATCAAAATGTATACTGAGAAAAGTCTTACACAAATCTACCTTTAAAGTGGCGGATGAGGAGAATGGAAAGCGACTTAAAAGAGCGGAGCGATTTCAAATAGAAACAAAAGACACAGTACGTAACGCATACGTCAGGTCTGTCGTGGAGGGACTAACAATGATTTTGTGTCGCTCTTCGTTTGGCGTCATAGCTTGAAAAGAAAAAGGAGGCGAGGGCTGAGCGCTTTGGCTTAAATGTTGAAGAAAAACGACGTTTAGAGCGTGCCAAGCGTTTTGGACTGGAGACTAGCGAGTTGGTACGTGCGAAGCTCATGACTTTGTCGTAGTCTGGCTGAATTATCCGGGGCTAATACAATCAGACAACGGCTCTAACGATCTTCTGTTTATCCTGCTTCTACATGTAGCTTGAAGAGAAACGACGGAAGCGATTGGAGCGCTTTGCAACGGCCCTAATCTAAGTGACAGGTCCCAGCAAACCTGTAGAGTATGTGAATTTTCATGGATGTTCGGCCAGAGTAAGCTTAAATTTTAGACCAAATCTTACTGTCCACTTGGTAATGTAACCTGTAGCTACAGTATAGCCTCTTTATAAATGCAACAACCATGACACACATGTTCCGATTGAAGGATGTTAGCGTTCCTCGCTACCATGTTCGCCGTGATGTTCATCGTCCCCTTGCTGTTCGTAGGATCGACAGTTACGACCACGCAAGCTGGTTTGGATAGACTATAACAAATTGCTCTTTTTTTGATTCGTCAAAATAAGCCAATCGCATTCTGTCGTTAATGAGGTCAGGTTCGAGGGGGGATTCAAATTCTTTCTCATTGTCACTTCAAGCCTCCTTGCCTTTGACGCCTGGGTTGCTCGGGCCTGCTCTGATTTCTCGAAGAGTTTAGGGTCACATCTTGTATACGCATCTTTGAGTAAGTGTGCGCCGGATAATCGCTACTCTACGATGTCGACACCCCTGCCGATTGCTCGTCAGGCTTCGAAATCCGATGCTGATATGGAGCTTCTACCGGTGGAAGTGGGCCAAGTTATATGGATTCCGGGCAACGAACGCGTGTGGGACAAGGCCACTGTCATGGCAATTGGCGGGTTGAAGGTGACGGTGCGCACTCATGCCGGCAAGATCCAGCAGGTGGACCGGAGTCTTGCCCTTCCCCAAAATCCTCGCGAAGCCGACGATATGACGTCTCTTTATTTCATACACGAAGCAGGTGTTCTGCACAACTTAGAGGAGCGCTGCAAGCTTAATGGTGGCGACGGGACTGGACAGAAGCCCTACACTTTTATGGCCAATGTGCTAATCGCTGTCAACCCTTTGCGTGATCTTCCAAATCCCCGCATTAGCGAGGTTGTTAATAGTGCTGGCAGCTCGCCACATCCTTATTCAATTGCGGAAATGGCCTATCAACAAATGGTCTATAATTCGGGCACCGATCAACCTACCAACCAATCGGTCGTCATCAGTGGCGAAAGTGGTGCAGGTAAGACAGAGTCGTCAAAAATTGTGCTGCGACATTTGACTACGCGCGGTTTGTACGGTAAAAAGGCGCGCGGAGAAGAGATTGAAAGCATGTCGAAGACTCGACAGGAGCACGGCACATCGCTGGATCACCGTCTGATTGAACAGAACCCTATTCTTGAAGCTTTTGGTAACGCAAAGACTTTGCGGAACTATAACTCCTCCCGTTTTGGCAAATTTATGAAGCTTCAGTTTACCGCGAACGGCGAATTTAAACTTGCTGGTGCTTTTGTCGAGACGTATCTTCTGGAAAAGTCGCGCCTTGTTTATCAAGTGGATGGGGAACGTAACTTTCACATCTTCTATCAGCTACTGGCCGGAGCCTCATCCGCTGCTCGTCAGGAGTTTCAATTAACGAAGCCCGAGGATTTTTGCTACCTCAATCAGAGCGGGTGCTACGTAGCTGAGGAGACGGATGACCAGGCATGCTTTGAAGCCGTGGTGCGCGGATTGAGCTGCGTTGGTATCAATGAGCAGGTTCAGCATGTTATTTTTTCGGTGATTGCAGGTCTGCTCCATCTCGGTAACATTGAATTTGCTGAAGAAGATACACCCGAGGGTGAAGCTGCTGTCATTGAGAAAGAATCCGCGAAGCGTGCTATAGTCGTCGCATCCAGATTATTAGGTGTCAAGGAAGAGGACTTGTGGAAGGTGATATTGACGCGCGATATAGTTACACGTGAAGAAACGTATACTGTTCGCCGTAATGAGCAGGCTGCCGTGTACGCGCGCGATGCCATTGCCAAGGCGCTCTACAGCCGGATGTTTGATTGGGTCATCAAGCAAGTTAATTCGTCTTTGGGTCACGATCCTGACCCGCTGCCGTATATAGGTGTGCTGGATATCTTTGGTTTTGAGTCATTTCAGCGCAACGACTTTGAGCAATTACTTATTAATTACACGAATGAGGTGCTCCAGGCAACTTTCAATAATCAAGTTTTTATTGCCGAAATGGAGCTTTACAAGCGAGAAGGAATCACAGTGGGAAAAATTAAATGGCCTGACAATCGCGAATGTGTTGATCTTATTGCTTCTAAGCCTAACGGTATATTGTCCTTGTTGGACGCAGAGGCTATGAATCCGCAGCCTAGTGACGCCAAATTTTTGCGCACTTTGCACTCAAAGCATTCAAAGCACCCGTACTTTCCGCGTCCGCATCCGAAGGACATGGAACATATGTTTATCGTAAGGCACTTTGCTGGTGCTGTGAGCTACACGATCGGTGCCTTTATCGACAAGAACAATGACTCAATTCCTGCCGATATGTCGAATCTCTTTTCGGGTTCGTCAAACACATTAGTACCTGCATTTTTTCATCAGGAGCCTGACAATAGCCGCCCGGGAAAGCGAAAACTGACGAAAAGTGTAGCCGCTAAATTTTCGAACCAAATGCAAGAGCTTGTGGATACCCTGGACGCAACGCGTTGTAACTTTATTCGCTGCATCAAGCCCAACGCTCTTATGCGCGTAGGTATGTTCGACCCTCGTTATGTCGTGGGTCAGCTGCGTTGCCAAGGTATCATGCAAACTGCTCAGGTTCTTAAGGTGGGCCTTCCTACCCGCGTTAGCTACAGCGAGCTGGTTGGCGCTTACAAAAAGTTTATGCCGCCTGATGCACAACGGCTGTTCGCAAATCAGAGTGACCCCACACTCATCACGGCGATTTTGTGGGCATTCCAAGTACCTATGGATGCATACAAGCTGGGAATAACGAAGTTGTTTTTCAAGGCCGGAAAAATCTCAGTGCTTGACTCAATTTTAAAGATTAATTGGGCAACAGAAGGCCCGCACATCGTGTCACGAATGAAGTTGTGGCTGGC